CACATTAAATGCAGAAAAAAAGACAGCGAAAAAAACATTTTTTTTTGTGGTTTCACGTGAAATGTTGGATTTTTCTCTCATCTTTTAGCACTAGGGTTTACTACTTTGCATTTAAATTTTCTGTAAAACCTTTCTTTCGGGGTGTGGTGTTATGCCTGCATTTTATGTATTTATTATTCCACATTTTTGCTAAGTATTTTGTTATATGCCGTCCCTGTACGTTATTTAGTCATATGTATAACTAAAAAATGTAATTGATGTACATTTTGTTATGATTTACATTTCTTTTACCTTGTGAATTTTCTGCTATGTAGTGTGCAGGTAACCGTTTAATACACCATACTTAGCTAAAAAAAACACCCTAATTTGGATGTAAATAATGATGACTACTATAGCATTGGGTCCAGTGGAATGAGCCAGTCTGCCTCTGCTGCATGCATATGAGCTGACAGAGGGACTGACCTTAGTAAGCTGAGGGCTGACTGCATCTGTTTGAGTCTGCTTTTTCACAGTCCACTATTAATTGTACATCACAGGATCACAGTCTTAGACCAAGGGTTATATGCAACTGTTACTGGACACTAGCAAAAAAAAAAAGGACAGCCCTAATATAACATCTATCAATCCTAGCAAGCCTCTTTTTTTTTGGTTAGTGCCCTTAGATAATGGATGTCTTATTTTTCACTTTCATTAGTACTCTTCTAGCAAGATTTCTAGCTGCTATGTAGCCACTGTTGCACCTATTTTTTCATTTTTCTGGAATAGTTGACTCCTCATCAGAGCCTTGGTAGACCATACCCAGCCTAAGCTGGGGAAAAAAAGCTGCGGGACGGCCTGTAATGTTGGGATGGGCATTGGATGTTGAGTTGGGCGCTTACCTAGGCACACAGTGTGATGTGTTGGGTGTCATACAGGCCCATGGCCATGGCACAACCATCTGGTCTGACCCTGTCCTTAATCACCCCTTTGGGTTGTGGGTGGACCCTGCCATTTCCTAACATAACAAAAACATAACAGTCACTGTCGAAGATGTCCCAGTTTTTAAGGACATTTTGAACAAAAGGTTTGACGCCCTCCTTAAGGCTTTGTTCTTCCTGGCAGATCTGGCTATGCAACATGTTGTTGTGATCTTGTCTATTTGCTAGCTATCAGGTTCAAGAACATGGCTTAGGGCCCCAGGTCCATTTTGTCGGATCCATCAGTTCTACTACATCTGGAGCTTTTGCCTGTAGCCTTCTGCCAATGCACTGATAAATTAGTGGAAATGCTCTGACAAATATCCAGAGTGAGGCTTCTTTCAGTACATATGCAAAGGATCCTTTGGCTTACGTTTTTGTCTGGATAATGTCCACTCAAGAAATTCCTTGTAAGGATGACTTTTGATGGGCAATACTTTTTTGGTAACTTCTTGGACACTTACATCAAGGAAGTCACCTGGTGCAAGAGTACCCCCTTTCCCCAGAAGAAGGACAAAGCTCCTGCAGATAAACCTTCAGCTCTGGAGATGCGTTTGCTTCTCTCAGGCCTTAGGTTCTTGTCCATCCCATGAAACCAGTTCCGCCACTAAATCTGGACATCAAAATTCGGCGAAATAGCCCTCTTTGCAATGAAGGATTATCACGTCAGGGTGGTTGGAAGTCTGTTGGCTTTCTCGGCCATCTGGTCCCAGGGGATCTCAGCTTGAGTCTAGATCATAGTGTTCAGGGGCCATGAGCTAGAGTTTCAGTTTCTGCCTCCACTCTTCTTTCCAGCAACTGCTTTCAGGGAGTTCTAACCCCCCTTCCAGAGGAAGAAAGGTTTCAGGGTTCTACCAAACCTATTTACCATCCCGAAGACCAGTAGAGGCATTCGCCCCATTCTGGACCTGTAAGATTCTCAACAGGTTTCTTTGTGTTCAAAAATTATGAATGGAAATTGCCAGGTCTGTCATTGCTTACCTTCATCCTGGGGATCTTCTGTTCCCTGTGCACATCAAGGATATATACTTGCACATCTCTGTTTTCCTTCCTCATCAGCGCTACCTGTGCTTTGTGGTTGAAATGCAATGTTACCACCTCGTTGCCATTCCCTTTGGCCTGTCTACTACATTTATCCTACCTCTGCTCCGCTCTAGAGGTATCCCTTTCATCTGATACCTGGACAAACTCCTGCTACTGCAACATTAATGAACATTCAAACTCTTGTCAGCCAGTGCCCAATGGCACGGGTGGACCCTGCAAAGATTTTGTTGGAACTTAACTCTCCAGAAATCAGTGCTGAATTTGACTCTCTTGGATATTTCCCTCTACAGGGTCCCTTTCCCCCAGGTTCAATAACCAACCAGTATTGTTTGTTACCAGGGATCATTGTGCCTTAGCAGTGAATGCTCTGCAGTGAACTAGCCCAGCAGGACACTGTACTCAGATATACTTAGCTTATGCAGACTCTCCATAAGCCCTTTTGGATCAACCAGATATTCTGTCCCAAGGACCAGTTCACCATTATGCTTTCTTGTCACAGTCTTTAGTGGCTTTGTTGTTGAAGCCCAGTTAATGAGGGACAAGAGCCTAGCAGATTCAGTCATCTCTACGCGCTTGAAAGCTAGGAAGTTTTATTTTCATAAAGTGTACCTTCGCACCTGAAATAGCTACCTTGCTCCAGGCCAATAATTTGCATCTCAGGATGTACTCTGGGAGAAATCCAGTCTGGATCAACATTTGGCCTTGAGTTAAGTCAAGGGTCATTTATCAAACTTAGCTATCCTTTTCCAAAGACCACTTCCCTGTCACTTCTTAGTTAAAGGCTTTGCTCAGGTTGTTGCTCATGTTGCTGCCCCCTTACGCTTCCCAGTGTCACTGTGGGATCATAACCTGTTTCTGATGGCCCTTGAGAGGCTGCCCTTTGAACCTTTCAGGGATATTTTCTGTCTGCCTTCATTTACAAGGTTGCTTTCCTGTAATGCCCCTTTCATGATGTTACTCAGGGATACAGTTGTCGTGTGACCTAAGACCTCCTTTGTTTTCAAGGTAGTCTCCCTCATACACCTCGATCAATGCATTGTTCTTTCCTTCCCTCTGTCCTGCTTCAAAACTTTGCGGATACATTTCTCTCCACTTTCTGGATGCGATATGCGCTTTGTCATTCCTGAAGGTCACCATAAGGGACACCCAGCCATTAGTTCTACCACTGACATACGGATTGAGCAAACTCTCGTCTGAGCCTGTTTCCTAAAGCACATGTGTCCACCCTTCTCTGTAAAGGCACACTTAACAAGAGCTGTTAGTGCTTCATGGGCTTTTAAGTGTAAGGCATCTGGTGCTGGATTTGTAAGGCTGCCACCTGATCTTCTTTTCGGACATTTGTTACGCTTTACCAGGTATATGTTCAAGCCTAATATATTGCTCTCTGAGTTATAGTGACCTCTCCCCTGGTCTCTTAGTTATATAAGCCTGTGGCTTTGTTTGCCCTGTTGACAACCTCTAAGTTGGACAGTGTAACGATTGAGCGAGTTTGGCTGAGGATCTCGGCTGCGTAGAGGCTTTGTGGATGGCTCAGGTGGTGGTTCACACTTACACCCTTTAGTGTGGTTGAGTGAGGTTGGAACCCTTAACACATCATACGCCACCACAGGCTGTAATTGCAGAGGTAACAACAAGTGAACCTTCCCTCTGTTGCAGTATTAGGTTAGTTGGGGCCTGTGGGGGTTTGTAGTTCGAAATAAAGTAGTTCACTCCACTAATGCAGAAAAACTATAGCAACTACAAACAACTTGGCAGAGGAAAGAAAAGTAGTCCCGTATGTGTTTTGGTATACAGTAGTTAACTCCACTAATGCATAACACTATAGCAATGGCAGACAACTTGGCAGAGGAAAGGAAAATAGTCCCGTATGTGGTTTGGTATAAAGTAGTTCACTCCACTATTGCATAACACTATAGCAACGGCCAACAACTTGGCAAGGTAACATGGATATCACATGTAGTCCCTGAATGCAGGCTTATCAAACAGTAATTAGCAGTACTCCAGAGCAACCTCCTTTATAGAGCAGTGTATCTTTAAACCCCACTGAGTTGCAGGCAATGTACACAAATACAGAGTCCAGGATGGTACTTGCAGATTGTTCGGGTATTCAGAGCCCTCCAGGAGTACAGGGAGAAGGATCACTGCTGTGTTGGAAGAAGTCCGGATTACAATGCTTCTGGAGCGAAAAGGTTCATGTGCTGGAACAGAGGTATGAGCCCTAAGAAATTGCTCAACGTTCTACCTCGCTAGAACATTGAGCAAGTGTGCCTTCCAGGCTTTTATGAGTAGGCAGGTGTGTTGGGGGCGGAGCAGTCAGCAGAGGCCCTCCCGAACGTCTCCTAGCAACGGGACGCTTCCGAAGGGCCTGGCTGCTACGCCCTCACTCCTATGCGTGACGAGTCCGAGGGAGAAGTCTGGAGGGAGGAGCAGAGTACGCAAGCCTGCCGGCCCGTCTCCTAGCAACGAGATGGTGCCGCGGCTGTGTGAGGAGACGGGGCTCGGGTTCGTGACAGACAGCTGTTGGAAGTTCTGTGGATTAAGACTCTGATCCTGTATCCTATGATACACTTTTAAAACAAACAGATTTTTGTCTTACCTGTAAATGCCATACGTTAGAAGATACAGGTCCCCTTCCCCTCTGGTTTCATGAGAATGACTATCTGAAAAACAATCCAAATATAAACAACATTTTTTTCATCTTTTGAATTTCTGAAAAAGTATTTCACCAAGGTTGAAATGTGACTACGTATATAATAAGGTCTCAGTTAAATTTAATAAAGAATTAAATGCTAGCTTTACTCCCTGATGGACATGTGATTCTAGTAGAGTGGGCAAGATTATTGAAAATATTTTAATATTGGGAAATTACCATATACATTTCACTGAAGGTTTATGAAATTTTTATCCCATGTGCTTAAATGTAATTATGTCCTGGAGACTGTCAGTTTTATTACCTTAACACCCTAACTGATGCCAGTGATGTGTTCAGTACGCTGTGGAATTCTGTCAAGAACACAAATTCTGAAGGATATTTCCTTTCAATTCTTCAGCATCTTCTTATAATCCGAAATGATTATTTTGCAAGGCAAGTTATTGTTTATTATGTATTTTGCTGCCTGTTTTGTTGGAACATTGCTTAGTAGCACAGTAATGTGACTAGTAGCTTATCTGCATTTAGCTGTTTAGTAGTAAGTGTATTATGAAGTGCAATAAAAACAGCACCACAGTGTGTTCAACTGACTGGTGCATAATGTAGGTATTTATTAAAGGAGAACTATGAGGTGAGTGCTTTTCACTCACCTCATAGTTATAGCCGACCTGTGACAATGAGACTGTCACAAGTCGGCTCAGTAGATTGGGAGGTGAGCGAGCACATACCGGCGTTCGCTCACCTCTCGATCCTGTCACGGCTCTCTGCCGTGACAGGGGAGGAGTACTGACTGGCGGAACGGACGGGAGAGGGGGCGGATCCAGCTGGCTCTGCCTCTAGATAGGCAGAGCCAGCTGTCAGTCACACGGCTGGGCAGATCATGGCACAATTGTCGGGATCCGCTTCAGCTGCGGCGTCTCAGTGTACCGCGAGCAGCTGCTCGCGGTATACTGCAGCGTCTCACCCTATACTGAGCCTAGGGTGACGGGAGGACGCTAGTTTGTGTCCTCCCATTACCCTAAGGAGAACTATGGGGAAAAGACTTAACCCCATAGTTCTCCTTTTAAGTTGTTTTGGGCATTCAAGGGGCAATCATAGCCTGCAAACCTTAACACCCACCATCTTCCTTTAGTTTATAGTAATCATCCAATAAAAGAATATTTCTGATTGGAGCAAATGTCTGATTAGTTGCAGGTCTTTCATGGGTTGAAAAAGCCCTTATTTGTTTTAGCTTTGGATATGCAATGATTTGTTTCTGTACAACCAAAACAAGCCTCTTTTTTGCCATCTTTTTGCCATGGTTTTTTTACTGCCACTCGACCTGTCAAACCTGCAGCTCAAAGTTTTCCCATCACAGTTGCAACTGAGACTTGCTTACTCTGATCAGTGTTAGGCCCCATTCACACTAAGCGACATACCTTTTGCAGCGGATCCGCGCGGCCGGGATAGCGCGACTTTCAGGGCGACGTTCCAGCGACGGTAGCGCGACCCTCACGACCGGGCTCCATTAAAAAAATAGAAAAATCACGCAAAATCCACCGAAAAAGGGTCCTGCTGGATTGACAGCGACGGGCGACATGGAGCTAAGACAGCTCCATTGAATAGCAGTGGCCGGCAACTTATCGCGATATCACGCTGCAAAAATGAGCGATATCGTGGCGGAAATCGCTTAGTGTGAATGAGGCCTTAATCTGTTGTCCTGTGAGCTGCCTGTCACACAAGCTGTTTACTTTCAGAAACTTATCCTCTGATTCTGATGTGGCTTTGGGTCTGCCAGACCTCTTCTCAGAGTTCCCTCCAGTTTCCAAGTGCCTTTTGATGGTGTAGGAAACTGTACTCACGTACACCTTGGCTTTCTTTGCAATTTCTCTAAAGGAAATACCTGCACTTTTAAGGGTTATAATGGTCTGTCATCTTTTGTTGTTTGCCTTTTTCTTTCCATTTTGAGAGTGATATACTACTTCCTGCAGTACAATACTGCCCAAATATTGCTTAAGAGGATGTAGTAACACAGCCAGTTTCAACACTGCTTTTATACAGGTGGGCTTGTGAGTAATTATCAAAAGGTGGAACACCTGTAGGAATTGTTAGCATGAACTTTCAAGGCTTAATTTACTTACATTACTGCAGAACAACTGTGAGTTGTTAACCCATTACTACTTCCCTGAAAAGGTATTTTTGTATAACTCTGAGATGTACATTGTTTTTCAGTTTTTGTTACCCTAAACCCCCCACCATCACCCACCCCCCACCCACTTCTGCCAGTTTACCTTTGTACCATTTCAGGTTATTCACTGGACTTGACCTGCTTACATTTCAATACAACCTGGAAAAATGGGGGTGATCTAAAACTTTTGACTGGTAATATAAAACCCCAATTCCAGAACAGTTGGAACACTGTAAAATCTACATAAAAGCAGAATGCAATGATTTGCAAATCTCACAAACCCATATTTTATACACCATATAAACTAGAAAACATCCTATGTTTAAACTGAGAAAATGGACCGTTTTAAGAAAAAAAAAGGTAATTTTGAAATCGATGGCAACAACATGTCCCAGAAAAGTGCGGCAGGGCAGCAAAAAGCTGGCAAATTAGTGGTACTATCAAGGAAGAACTGGAAGAACATTTGGCAACTAATTAGGTTAATTGTCAATAGGTCAGTAACATGGCTGGGTATAAAAAGTGCATCTTACAGAGTCAGAGTGCCTTAGAAGTAAAAATGGACAGAGGTTCACCAATCTGAAAATCTGTGTCTACAAATTGCCCAAGAATTTCAGAATAATGTTGCTCAATGTATAAATCCAAAGACCTTAAATATCTCATCTACAGTACACAATATTATCAAAAGATTCTGAGAATCTGGAAAAATCTCTGTGCACAAGGGACAAGGCCGATACGCAATATTGGAAGCCCGTGATCTTCGGGCTGTGATTGGCAACACTGCATGGGCTCAGGAATAATTCCAAAAAATACTGTTTGTGAACACAGTTCGCCTTGCCATCTAAAGTTGCACGTCCTCTCCCAGAACTTCAGCAATTGGTCTCCTCGGTTCCCAGACGTTTACAGAGTGTTGTTAAAAGAAGATGCTACATTACATGGTTGTTCTACTAGATCACTTAAGAGCATGGTTAAATCCTAATTTTAATAAACCTTGGTGCAATATTGAAAGATCAATTCTTCCTAGGCACAACCCTCATATTCGCAGCCTCCAGTGCGCACACGAGTGGGGAAACTGTCAGCATGTAAATAGTGAGAAATGGCTGTTTACATTCACGTGATCGGGTGTCTAGAGACGCCCGATCGCTTGTACTAGCTGCATGTGTGCGCCCCCCCCCCCCCCCCACCCCCCCCCCCCCCGCGTTTTTTTTTTTCCACA